ACCCTCAAGGCAAAGGACCATCTCCAAGCTGCATTGCTGGTCAATTCATTGATAAAGATTTATTAACACAAACAAACAACTATACAGTACTCGTATTTCAATGTATACAAACAACAATGTCACTGAATGCTTTGAACTGCTGCTTAAAGGGCATCCTGAATCTGGATCTCGGAAAGACACCGTTCGAAATTGTCAAGCGGACAGAGCCGGAGCCAAATGGCGTCACTGACGGCGGCCTTCCTCTCACTGCCTTCTGTGGTGATGAAGAGAGCGGGTTATGACGTCGTTTCAGGGCTCTCCCACCCGGCAATCCCAAGCGGTATTTTGTGGAGCTCGATAGAATTCTATAGGTTGAAGAATTTCGAGAGAGAAGAGCATTACACCTTTCTTAGTGACTAGAAGGAGTGTTTGAAAAGGTGCTCTTTGAAAAGATCTGTTAAACAGTAAACCATGCAATTACAAAACCGAATGATGGTTACACTGTTACGTCACGCTACGATATCCCTAGGAGGAATTCAAGGCAAGCTACATTCATTATCTAATGGAAAATGTACATCAGAGCGGCAGTTTTACCATGCTACTGACGGTGGATACCGTATAGCAAGGCGATTTTGACTTCTTCGGAGCCTCGAAAACGCCGAGGGTTAGTCGACACCTCGGGAATTCCCAGTATGAGAGGCAGTAGAAGAAGGAATTGTAGCCAACGAGGATGTACTCAGCAATGGAAAACGCGATGTAGGCTGAAATTTGATATTTTCCTTTTTTTCCGAAAATTCCTCTTTTTTGAGTGCCCACGAAAGGGTGGCAGTGACCCATCGTCTATATTCATATTTTTCTCCGACTTTGAAGCATTCACCATATATAATGGTGAATGCTCCGAAGTCGGGGAAAAATATGAATATAGACGATTGAGAACTATATTTCAGCAACATTTGAATTTTGCAGTTTGAGATGGAATTTGCTTTTCTTTGTATTACTACATTTTCCTGAGGAAAAGTCGTAGGAGTCTGTAAAAGGACTCATGCCACTCTTGGGAGAAGATTCGACTTCACCCTTAACTTTCACGTTACCTGCCAAGGGTTGACTGATGGGTTCAGTACATGTTATTCGGGGCATATTGAAGAAATAGAACGTTGTTAGCTCCAGAGTAGCTCAAAACGAACCGTCTTTGATGCAGTAGGCGAGGAAAATCGGATAAGAGACGGCAGTGGAAAGGGAGAGAATCAGGCCGGTGACGAACATGAACACCTTGATACGCCAGATGACCTCGTACTGAAATGCGAAATGTCTTTGGCATCTTCTTGAATGGCCTAGAAATGAAAGTTCAACATGCCAAAACTGGGCATTGCATATTGCACCACTGTAAATAATGATTGTGGGGAGTGAATGTATTGGGTTGGCACATAAGTAATGGCGTTTTTTTCAAATGAAAATTTTGTTCCAAAAGTGAAATGTTTTGCAAGCAAGCTTGATATCATCTGATAGGAAACTTCACGTAGTTTTAGAATATCAAAGCGGCTTTGATTGAGGAATAATTTTTGTGGATTTTTTAGTCGTTGAAGTTGAAAGCGAAGTCGGCGAAAATTAGCACCTTCGACAACTGCCTCTATTTACGTATAGTCGAAGTGCTAAAATCGCTTAAGCTGCTCCATACATTTGGAAAAGGTCGAGCTAGAAGTTCCAGCAAGGGAATCTCACTAGGACGCTTTGGAACGAATTTCAAGAATTTTGAAGTTACCAACCTTCACCTCGCCGATATTGGGCAGCTCACGTCTGTTCCACCTGAAATTTTATGCTAATATTTGAATGTTTCGCTGATATGTTTTGCATGTTCTGATAGCAAATTTCGTGCTCTATAACACTGCTATAGAAATCTGTTCTCCAGAGGTGTTTGCTTTCTGTTAAGTTCAGGTTATCATTACGGAACGCGAAGTCGTTGAGAACTAGGGTTCCCGTTCTCCACGAATTTTATGCTAACATTTGAATGTTTCGCTAATGTGTTCTATATGTTCTGATAGCCAATTTCGTGCTCTATAACACTGCGTTGCAGTTATTTTGAAAATCCGTTTGATGAACCTTGTTTTTCAGGTGGATAATATGGAATGTCAGGTCGATAAGCATCAGCACTTCAGACATCTCCTCCTTTTCGCATTCAACAGAGGTATCAGAGCTGCTGATGCTGCTCGGGAAATTCGCTAAGAGCTGTCCTAACACTAATCTGTTACTCTAAGCCTTACTCAAACCATGGCGATTCTATTGAGCTGCTCTAGGAGCTTTGAAGCTTCAGCTAATTCTCATCGACCTCACGTTCCGTAAAGATAACCTGAACTTAACAGAAAGTAAACAGCTCCGGAGAACTGATTTTTATGTTATGTTATAGAGCACGAAATTGGCTATCAGAACATATAGAACACATTAGCGAAACATTCAAATGTTAGCATAAAATTCGTGGAGAACGGGAACGCTAGTTCTCAACGACTTCGCGTTCCGTAATGATAACCTGAACTTAACAGAAAGCAAACACCTCTGGAGAAGAGCACGAAATTTGCTATCAGAACATGCAAAACATATCAGCGAAACATTCAAATATTAGCATAAAATTTCAGGTGGAACAGACGTGAGCTGCCCAATATCGGCGAGGTGAAGGTTGGTAACTTCAAAATTCTTGAAATTCGTTCCAAAGCGTCCTAGTGAGATTCCCTTGCTGGAACTTCTAGCTCGACCTTTTCCAAATGTATGGAGCAGCTTAAGCGATTTTAGCACTTCGACTATACGTAAATAGAGGCAGTTGTCGAAGGTGCTAATTTTCGCCGACTTCGCTTTCAACTTCAACGACTAAAAAATCCACAAAAATTATTCCCTCAATCAAAGCCGCTTTGATATTCTAAAACTACGTGAAGTTTCCTATCAGATGATATCAAGCTTGCTTGCAAAACATTTCACTTTTGGAACAAAATTTTCAATTGAAAAAAAACGCCATTACTTATGTGCCAACCCAATATTTCTGCGGAGTTCATCAATCATTCACTTGACTAGAGGTTCTCTTCGGGACCTTGAGGGAAGAGGTACAAGCGCTTCACTGGTTTCATTGTTCTTGCTCCAAAGAGAAACTGTACCATCAGACCTTGCCATGTGCGAGGGGAATGCTTCCGCAGCTGCAGTACGCTGACACTTCCGCAGCTGCAGTACACGTGACACTTTTCCCGCTCCAAAGTTCCTCGGAACAGGCCTGTAAGGTACACTCGCTCGCCGCCTCCGAGTCTCTACCTTACAGCCCTGTTCCGCCTAATCTGCCCCGAACTATCCTAAAGGTGCGGTACTTGCACTTGTACCGCTATGAAGGTCCCCCAACAAAACACGCTCAGCGGCAGAGCAACTTGAAGTGAGTGGACGCAGACAAGATTTTGGCTATGTTTAGGCGCGTGGCTGGCCGAGTGGCAGCAGGGAAGGAGTATGGAGAAGGCATTCGTGCACTACTACCCTCCAGCCCCGTTCCCGTGCACTTTTGATCGGAGGAGGTAGCAGTCTACTGCAGCTGTGAACCCCTTTCCCGCACAGAGGTGAATTTTCCATTTTCGGATGTAGCACAGCCCCTGCGAGGGCAGACCGAGTCACTGTGAACATTCAAAAGGTTCTAGCCTTAGTTCTTCTCTATCCAGCATCGCAGTAGCCCTTCTTGAATGCAGTGGGCTAATAGGGGATTTCATAGAGGAGGAAACTGATGTGCACATCAGTGTATTTCAAGAATTGTCTAGTGAGAGTTCTCTAACCAGACATGACGATCGAAGGTTGCGGTTAGCTATACGGGACCCAATTATAAAGTTAGAACTGATTTTTTCGCATGCAGCGCTAATATCACCGCTTCTGCCTTCACCCTTCTTGAGATGTGTCTACTGAATTCGTACCAGCGAGAAATATTCCTTGATTTTTTCTACTCAAACAACAGACGTGAAGACCAGAAAGTAAAATAAATACCTTTTGCGATGTTTCACGGATACCACCATAGTGATGAAGAATGGTGTTGAAGAGCATGTTAAAGTTGAAAGAGATTATCCAGAGAGAATAGGCGATTGCATGGATTACTGAAATCGCAGTCAGTTCGAATGACAACCTTGAATTGCTACGTAGCATAGCACGACTGAACCTCATATGAGGTGGTGCAGGAACAGAGCTGTGACTTACAGAAATTGCACTTGATGTCAAGAACGCTGACTGCCACCAGACCAACCAACTCGGACCACATCGTTTTCGTGTAGAAGTAAATTACCCGGCGATAACAGATGGATTTCGGAGCGGCGTTGCGAAATGCTCGTCGATATAACTGAAAGCAATTTCTTTTAATGATGGTGTAGAATTTTCTGGCGCACCTTCGGACTCGACCTGCGCCACATTTCCAGAACATCAAAGACTGCGAGAGACGAACTATAAATTTAACTTCAGGTCCTTGCCATGTGCGAATAGAACGGGTTCGCAGGTGCGCTAGCGTGCTA